TATGTTTTTGGATTACACAACACAACCTATAACAGTTACCATAGCAGGTGCGAGGACCAAGCCACCCGCTTTGGTCCTAACACTCTTTTTATGAAGACCAGAGGCTCTCTACCCACCCGTGTGAGAGCACACGAAATCATCTGTAGAGTTTGTTTCTTTCAACACACTCATGTCCAGTGCCACTCACCAGACAGTCTGATGTGCTAGCTCCACGCTGGGAACCAACCCTTTAAAAAATCAAGTTTCTCAAGTGACTGCAATGCTCATCCAGAAATAAGAACCACTGAGGTCGATCTTAACAATACTTTAAATTAGAAATGGAGGCAGGAAAGGTGAAACAATGTGTCTGAAGTTCACTCAGGATATAGATGGGACAGCAGGATTCAAACCCAGGTCAGTCCCACACAAAGTCCACTTCCTGCTACTACAGGTTGCCTGTCTGTGTCTACATGCATCTAGGCAGGTCTGACTAAGGTAGTGCATATCCTCATATGGTGTAAGCAAGTATCTTCAGTGTGAAAATAGTTGTGCGCTGGTTATGTGCTCTGGGGATTACTCGGGAGGCGTGTGTTTCTTTGGGAATATTGCATGAACATCTTTGTATATCTTATCGACAAGCATGAGAATGATTTCTACCCACGAAACTGTGAGGATGTTGCTTACAATTCACTGTCACTCTCAACACTGAAGTTCCTGATAATGGGTACTCAGACCATAACACTTAAACAGAACAAATGAATGAACAAATGTCCATCCATGTAAAATCACCAAACAGGAGTTGCCCCAGTTGGAATTTTATTTAAATTTCCCTCCATAGTCATGTTGGGAAACAGTGATCCTTCTGTTCCAATTTCATTATTTTTTGCATCCCTTTCTCCTTTCTAGACCAGAAAAAGAAACAGTTACTAATTTGGGTACTGTCACTGATCTGAAAATAACTTTAATCCCATTAAATAACTGCTCACAGACATTCTACTGTATTGAATGTTGCCACTACAGAAACATAAAAGAGGAGGGATGTTAAAGGTCATCGGGTTCAGCCCCGAGGCTTTGGAGCAAACTCTCCTTCAACAGTCTTCATGGCCTGTCCTGTCGCTGCCCTCCACGAAAGCCCCCAAATATCAACCAGGCAGCAGGAGGTTATGGATTTGCAGGACAGCTTTGGTTTGAAATAGACTATGGCAATGTCCTCATAAGTTAGGGGGACAGTGTCCCTGATGCAGGTGACCCTTGATGTTATAGCAGCAGTAACTTTCACCTGCAAGTAGTTTTGATTTAGATAATATATTATAGGCCATGCTTCATAAGCACAGGCATTTATAACATGCACTCCAAGTTATGGTTCAGAAAACCAAACACACACACACACACACACACACCCGTTCTTATTTCCATCCTTACCTAACACACACCCTGTGGGAGCTCATGCATGTCTCATGGTGGTCCCCTGCCTCTGAGTTCTCTCATGTTCCTCTCCCTGCCTGAAATGTTCTCCCTCCTCAACTCCACTTACGTAAATCTTACCTGTTTTTCAAAACCGTACTCAGTCCCTGTTTCCATGAAGCCACCTCTGAGTAGACAGAGGCAGCTACTCAACCCACATTGACTTCCCCCTGCTCTTAACTTCTCCCGTGACATTTGCTTTGCTGAAATAGGGAAAGGACAGTGAGGCGCTTGGCAGTGGTGGGTTCACTCCTCTGAGCACTCTGCCGGCACTTCGCTTAGAAGATCGCAGGTAGCATCTGGCTGTGGTAATTTGGTCCCTATCTCACAGGTCAGCATTCTTCATAGGTGGCTCATTAAAAGAAATGAGAATATAATGCTCTCATTTTTCTTACAAAAAATGTTGTTTAATTCTAAGAAAGCTGCAAATAAAACACTCAAACTGGAGGCTCTCTTTGAGATCTTCTTTGTCTAACCTCTTACCCAAAGGAGATGTGTAACCCGCCCCCCCCACACAGACACACACATACACACAAACATGCACATGGTATCAAGATGCCCTTCCACCTCCTTTGAGCCCATCTCTTTGAGCACCTTGTTCCCTTACAGGGCAGCTCTCATTGTTGAAGTTCTTTCTTATTAATACACTATCTTTCAAAATTAACTTTGTGGACCATATGCTCTGTAATTAATTGTGGTGTTTGCTGAAATCACAGATTTTCAAGTCCAACTCCAGGGTTTCAAGTCCAACTCCAGGCCTAGTGAATCAGCATTTGGAGCAGAGAGAGAAATAATAACCTACACTGTTAACAGGTTCCCCAGATGACATTTCTTTTACCAGAGTGTGAGGGCCACTGTTAGAGTCAGTACTGTCTTCCTAACAACAAAGAGCAAGACACCTACTTCTCTTTTCTTCCTGGCAGTTCTTCAAACATTGGAAGAGCTCCAGTCTCTCTCCCTTCCTTCTGTACTACTCTGCTTCAACCCAGAGTATTGAACTCTTCCTTCTACAAACTTCCCTACTGCAAACACACGTAAGCACACTCCTCTGCATCTTCTCATGCTTGTTAGCGTCCCTCTCAAAATGTGCTGCCACAAACGGGCGAGAGAACTAGGCTTTTAATGCTTTTCTTACATACTGTGAGGTATATCAGTTCACACCCCTGCCAGCTAACAATGAGAGTACCCATTTGGGCCTAAACTAACCAGCAGTATATCCTTACTAATTTAAGGCACATGATGTTGACTCTTCATAGTTGTTTTAATTTGGGTGCCTTTGTTTGTATTTTTCATATCTGTCTATCTATCTATCTATCTATACACACACACACACACACACACACACATACCCCTGTACTTATGAAGCATGGCCTATAATATATTGTCTAAATCAAAACCCCTTGCAGCTCTTTTGAGGATTGTCTGCTCCTGTCTTTTTTCCCCCTTGTAATTCACTATGTCAGTCACTATGGCAAATAAGTCCTTTTAATGCATTATGTCAACTAATTCTCCAAACAACATTTTCCTCACTTTATAGATGAAGAAACTGAGCCTTTAGAAACGTCTAGTGAGGAAACACAGTTAGGTCTTCTGCTTTTCACTGATTTATTCCTTCATTTAACCAACGTTTTTTAGATGAGAGCTCTTCATTGTCAAGACACTTTGTAAAGTGAGTTAAGAGAGCCAAGATTTGGAAGAAAATTTTGAGAAAGATTCAACAGAACACTAGGAATTTTCACAATTCTATTAACTCCTTACATCTACCTAAAATATCTTTTATTTTCCTTGTTGTTTTCCCTGGTCTAGAGGGAATAGTGATCAAGTTATATGCAGTAGATAGCAATGCTAGCTACCGATACAAGATTTACCAAGAGAGGTAATATGTGGCTGACCCTAAAAGAGCACAAGAAAGAATTAAAGGCAGTAATGTGAAAATCAGACAGAACTCCATAACTAATTACAGTCTATCAGTTGGCAGCAATAGCAGTAGATAATATTTCAGAAGTACATGCTCAAGTAAGATTAGCTTTCATTTTTTTCATTTGATGTTATCACGACCAGTGTTTATGTAATTAACTAAGATAATAATGTTAATTCATTATTTATAGGATTTTAGTCCAAATAGCTGAGCTTCTCTTGGTTTTGGTTAATTTAATCAAACTCCATGCAATTACACTTTCATTAAAAATACATATGCATAAAGTTGAAATGATATTTAAATCGACTGAATGTACAACCAGATTAAAAGAAATGCAAACAATTAAGTACATATCTGAATTGGAAGCAAAATTAAAAATAACTTAATCTTACTCCATTTTTCTACCGAGAAGGTACAGAATGCCCAAAGATCAAAAGTTGTCAATGTCAAACAATGAGTGGTAACACTGAGATCCAAACCCAGATTTCCTGACTTTAAATAGAGAGGCTGTACTGCTGAATCTTCTTAGACATTTACCTAATCCCAACTTCACTCAACAAACCCTGGCCCTCCAAAACTCTCATGAAGTTTTCTGAGGAAAACCTATAAACTAGGCATCGAAACAGCTAATGTAATTTAAAGGTCTTGGTTCCCAGCTTTGTGATCCCGGGCAGCCTGATATAATTCCTTGGGGGCTATGTTCTTCTATTAGCTTTGATGGAAACTCAATTCCTTCCTCATTAGTTATTAATAGAAACATTCACTTGTCATTCCAAGGTCCACTTTGCCCCAAATCTTTCTTTCACATGATAAACAAACATAACAAGAAAAAAATTATTATTTCAATTACAATGCCCATTTCCCAAGAAGGAACATGTCTTTCTTCTTTACTATTCCAATTTCTGGTTACTCTGTTTTCAGACTCATAATTGTAAGCTACACAAAAATGTTAAGCTTACTCTCTCAACACTAGAATTTTAGTTCCTCACAATTTACTGCCTGGCAACCATGTTCTCTTCACAGAGCATAAAGAGAATTTAACATTTAAACAGATTGTTCTAAACAGGGACACAAAGTAAATTTTAAAAAACAAAGGATATTCAGTGTAGTTGACTGTTGATTGTTTATATGGTTTCTAGAATTTTACCCTCCAGAACTTAGTCTGAATTATTTGCTAGCCTACACCCACACCACACAGGTGTTTCTGCCCATCCCCACCTTCACCCACCAGTCATGCCCACTGGCAAACACACTCCCCTACAAAGGAATCACCCCTCCCACAGAGACCCTTCCTCCACACATACACCTGTCACCCACACAGACACCTACCTAAGCAGACAATCCTTCACGCACATCCTCCCTCCTTCCCACCCAACACACAAATCAAAACCAACCCTGGGTGTCATCATAGGTAGCACATTAAAACCACGGAGTGGCATGCAGAGTCAAGCCCTAACACCATTCAAACTGACTCTTTGGAAGCCAATTTAACTTGATACACTCTCTCTGTCAACAAGGGACAGGCTCTTTCAAGCCTCTCCTTGGAAATTCCAGCACCGTGACCCCACTGTCTTCAGACTCCATTTGGCAGCTGCCCCCCAGCGAGGTCAGAGCCCAGAGGTCTGAGGAGCACACTCACTGCAAATCGGACTTGGCAGTTCTCCTCGCCCAGGTAGCACAGGTCTCCCGAGACGTTGGTCTCCAGCCACAGGTGCTCTCCGTTCACAGCGTTCTCCTGGAAGGAAAGGAGGAACCACCACACTTCAGTCTTCTTTCAGGCTTAAAGGGGAAGTTCTCAGATTTTGATTTTGGATGCAAGAAAGTTGAACCCAAGGAGTTTAAGCACTTTTCATCTTACCCCTGAAAAAACTGCAGGTGTTAATCTTAACAAAATTCTGGAAATGGGAAAAGGAGTTTGGGGAAAGTTTGAGCCAGTAACTAAAGCAGATATTAGATCTATAGAAGCTTTACACATGGATGTGGTAATCTTTGAAATATATATTGAACAAATGAGGAAAAACCCTCAAGTTGTTCAATGTAAGACCCAACACTGCAGATTGCATGACAATTAAAATAAATTCTATTCAAAATTGCCTTTGCTGAGCAACATAGCTACAAAGGAGGATAGCAGTAGTAAAGTAAAGCACTTTAAGACTGTTTGAAAACACATCTATACCAGTGATGGGCAAATTTTATTTCTAAGCCAGAGGTTTCCTGAAACTCAGTTTGAAGTTGAAAGTCACTGTGTACTCAAAGGTCTAATACATTTCTACTAATTCAAACATTGTGCCAGTTCAGTAGGGTCATCACCCAATTATTTCTAAATTTTTCAGATTAAAAGATTTCTCTGCTTCTGGAACTACTCTAATACTTCCAGTGGCAAACAGAGAACAGCTATAAGTTTGGACTCAAAGTTTTCACATGGTGATGGATGCGGATAATATCTGTAAAAGTAAGTAAATAAATAAAAAGGCATTTCTTTGCTAGGTCTCCAATACCTATTCTTATAATGGGAATTTGTCATCCAATTTGAAAGTCTAACCATTTATAGAATAAAATCCATTTTTCATCCCTTTACTCTTTATTCAGCCAATAAACTTTTATTCCACATCATTGGGTTAGTGGGCTAATCCACAGAGTAAACTACTAGAGAACATGGAAATAAAACACATAATTACAGCAGCAAATACTAGGGAATTCTTAACACAGCAAAAATCCTGCCAACTCTTTTAAAAACTGAAATATAAATCACAGTAGGGAAATGGTCAAAAACCACTGGAAGTACTAACCCGGGTACACTGCATCCCACCTTGCTGATAAGTCTGACCAGATTCAGACACAGGAGGACTGATTAGCTGATCTCATTCTTGGGGGGTGGAGGGTCTGATTAGAAATACCAATCTTTGTGAGGGAAAAGGGAAAGAAAAAGATGGAGGCTTCCTGCCACAGTGGTTCTAACACACTGGTCCTCAAATTTGACTGCTCATTAAATGACCTGGGGAGTTTTTAAGAATACCCAGGCACCATTCCCAAAGAGTTTATTTTAACTACTCTGACGTGAAACCTGGGCATCAGGAGTTTTCGAAGTTCTGGAAGTGACTCTGCAGTAGAGTCTGAAACCATAATCCAATAAACCACACCCCACCTCTTCAAGCCTGAGACAACAGATTGTAGGACATGTCAATGACTGATCTATTACACTTGGTACTTCTCTGCCCTTGTACAGTCACCAGAGAAGAAGGTGAGAGAGGAGGAGAGAGGAGCCATGGTAGCCACATCTAAAGAGAGAAAGAAGGATTATAAGGAAAATGACCTGAAAACACAGATAAACCATGAGTAAGCTCAAAATTAACAAGGTAGATCCTGGGGACAGGAAAAAGGAAACAACCACACACGGGCATTTAAAGAAGCAATATAATAAATTAAAACATTCACAAATGTACCTAGTAATCTCACTTTTGGAAATGTACCCTATGAAAAGAATCCTAATGGAAGAAAAATCTATATACAGTTAGAAGTTTAGCTTCTCTCCTAGGTCTTTATAGCCTAGACTGCTAGCCATTCCCCAACATCAGTTTTCTTTTCTTCCTGAACACACAAGTAGACCTTATTACCCAACTTCCTTGCAATGTGACCACGTTCTAATGAATGGAACACGTGCAGGAGTGGTGAGGAGTGTTTTCAGACTTGGTCCATTAAAACCTCCCACGTGTGTTCCTTCGTGCTCTTCTCCCATACTGGATATCTGGAAAATCAACTTCTGGGGTGACTTTAGAAGCCTTCTGAGGAAGATGTAAGAGCAACAGTCTCTCTGGGTCATTGAATAACTATGGAACAGGGCCAACCCCCTACCCAACCTACTCGGAACAGTCTGGTCTGCTACACTTCTGTATTTACCTATTATATGTGAGTATTTCATTTATTCCATTCAGTCTACCCCAACTAATATGGGCCTCTTCTCTTTGCTCATATTTTGGTCTGAATTTCTTTTCATGATCTACATCTACCCCTAAGTTATTTACCATCCACTGAGCAGTACCATCCTCTAAGTCTTGGTTCCTTCTGCTCTGAACTCTAATTCTGACATTCCCTCTGATATTTTCCACTGCTATAGAATTAATTCACTGGAAAACATAGCTATGACTATATTTATTTCTTGCCCATAATGCTTAAATGATTCCCTATTATTTACAAAATGAACTCCAAATTTAAGTGCACATACTAGAGTCTAGTAACTAGACCAGCCGTGGGCAAACTATGGCCCGCGGGCCGGATCTGGCCCGTTTGAAATGAATAAAACTAAAAAAAAAAAAAGAACGTACCCTTTTATGTAATGATGTTTACTTTGAATTTATATTAGTTCACACAAACACTCCATCCATGCTTTTGTTCTGGCCCTCCGGTCCAGTTTAAGAACCCATTGTGGCCCTCGAGTCAAAAAGCTTGCCCACCCCTGAACTAGACCTTCCGTTAATGGCATTGATCTGTCTATCCTTAACCGTCCTTATTCACCTTTATACATTTAACTCTCTCATTGCTCTTGTCTAAATAGAGCCATACTTTCCCTTTTGTGTGCCATGTTTTTGTTTATTCCGTTCTCCCGACCCAGGGACATCTTTTTCTCTTCTCTACACATCCATCTTGAAATACTATCTTAAATAGTATAAAACTCAGAGTATCTATCTGTGGCAGAGAAAAGTATAGCTCACCCATTTCTAGATGAAGACAACATTCTGTACTTGTGAGTGCTCAGACAGCTCTCTATAGATGTACCTACGAATATCTCTCTTATTTTCAGTCTGTTCCTCAAAGTCCAAAAACTTATCTCCTGCTCTAATTTACTCAAATGATTTATCTGATTTATTGTATCATCTGCCTCATATAATCTACCCAAGAATAGAGATCCACCTATATATCCAGATAGACAGACAGACATAGAGATATGATTCTTTGCCTTCAAGTTCTACTGAAGTCCTAGTAATAATTATAGGTAAAAAAGCAAAATAGAAAAGTTGGGAATGGGGGAGTGTTATAGACTGAATAAGACAGATAGAGTGCACTGACACCAGCAGCCAATAATTTACACAAAATGAAGATACTTGTAAAAAGTGTTTAAAACAGTAAGAAGATTACAAATAGGAACCCTATGTAAATGTCCCTACAAATTCAGAAAGAAAAGAAATCTTCACGATAATAAAAGGTGAAACCTGTCTTGGATGGTTTGCATGTGTGCTAATCAGTAAGCAGATGGCTGCCGTGCACTGGAAATGTGGTCAGCCCTGATTGAGGTGTGCCGTCAGTGTAAAATTCAGAGCAAATTCTGAAGACTCTGTGTGAAAACGGAATGTGAACTGTCTCACTGATCATTTTTATATTGATCACATGCTGAATTTGTAATATTATTGACATATTTGGTAAAGCAAAACACGGTGTTAAAATTCACTTTAGCTATTTCTTTTTGCTTTTTTCAATGTGGCTACTAGAAAATTTAGATGTAGAGAATTGGAAATTTTCCAATGAGGGAAGAATAAAATGAATTGAGATCAAGGATGCTAGGTTTACAACTAACGTGTCCTTTAAGAAAGATCTTGGTGGCGTTTCCACCATTGTTTTGAGAGTTGTTTTAGGCTGCATAATGGGCAAAAAAATATTATAGAATAATTTGACAGTGGAGATCTACATTTAGGTGTAGAGAAAATACTCTACACCTGATATATATGTCTACTGGACAGTGTCAGGTTAGCTAATTACTTGCCAAAGGATAGAAGATCAGGCCTGAATACTCTTACTGACCTATGAAGTTGTAGGATTCTATGATTTCCCCCAACAACCAGTGTAATTTACCTTACAATTTTCACAATTTGGGTAAATAAAGGACTGGTGAGACTGCACGAAGTCACTCTTTTCCCACTATTAACAGGGCTCACCAGGTCCGGGACCTTCTGTGGTTTATAGCCGGGTAGTCCCATGCTCTGAGCAATCTGACATTTTTTGAAATGGGGATGGGAGTGGGGGAAACGGCTGGTTGGGAGTCACTTTTGGTGATGACACCCAAACCCGAAGATAAAGACGCTGAGACCTGAAGCTTGTAAAGAAGGCGCAGGTCTGCTAGCACTCGTCATTTGAAACAAGACAAAAATGGGAACACACGTACTTGCACAGGCACACACACACCTGCCTCCCCTGGCCTTTCATTCAAAGTTTCTAAAGATAAGATGACCTAGTTTCATAACCCAGTTTATAGCAATCCCACGTGAAGATTCTGTTTCCCTAATCTTGTCTCTGAACCGAAGAGTGAGGCGGTGCCCTGAGTGTGTTACGTTTCTACTGCCGGGGAGAGAGCACGTCATTTCTTAGCTCGTCATTTCTTATCACCGTCAACTATAGGAAAGGAAATGTGGTCTGGATTTAGAGTCTGGCTTTGTGTGTGCTGAGGCTCTGTTTTCCTTAGCCCTCAGAACTAGAGGAAATTTTCCAATGAGGGAAGAATAAAATGAATTGAGATCAAGGATGCTAGGTTTACAACTAACGTGTCCTTTAAGAAAGATCTTGGTGGCGTTTCCACCATTGTTTTGAGAGTTGTTTTAGGCTGCATAATGGGCAAGAACAAATTATAGAATAATTTGACAGTGGAGATAGAATAAGACCCACTTCCCATGCTCTCTGCTATAATGTTCAAAACAGGGAAGAAATCTCTATGCCCAGATGAAGTCTCCATCACAAGAGGGGCATGTG